GGGCCCGGGCTGGATTCGAACCCGCCACCTTGGGTGTATGTGGCTGGCACCTTAGCCACTTGAGCCACAGGCACCGAGCCCGCCTCGTTTTCTAAATGAAGAAGCATCTAGAAACAGCTGTAACTGGGTTTCTATCTAGATCCAGAATATGAATCCTAACTATTACTACGCTGATGTAGTTTGTCTCTATTTTTAAGGTTTTGTGCAAAAACAAAAGGAAAGAAAGTTTCGTGCAGACCTTTGTCCCCTGAAAAGTAAATAATCAGCAAAGAAATGTGGACAAGACCCCTTAGCTAGGCCTAGCCCCCGCCATCCGTGTCAGTTTCCTTTGCTTTTCTCTTTTTTTCTGTTCCTTTGAGACAAGAGTCTCACTCTGTCACCCTGGGTGGAGTGCCGTGATGTCGTCGTAGCTCACAGAAACCTCAAACTCTTGGGCTCAAGCGATCCTCTGCCTCAGCCTCCCGAGTAGCCGGGACTACAGACACCCACCATGATGCCCTGCTAATTTTTCTATTTTTAGAAGAGAGGGGGTTTCACTCTTGCTTAGGCTGGTCTCGAACTCCTGAGCTCAAGCGATCACCCCCGGAGTGCTAGGATCACGGGTGTGAGCCACCACTCCTGGCTCAGTTGCCTTTCTCTCATTTCAGATCAAGTTCCAAAGTTCTCAGGAAAGTCAGCAGGCTTTGCTGCAAGAGAAACTGCAGGAGCACGTGGCCCAGAAGATGAAGCTGAACGAGGAGAGGCTGGAGCAAGAGGAGAGGCTGAAAGCCAGAATTAGGCGGCTATTGGAAGAGAAGGAGGTAAGGGGGTCCCTGACTTTGGCTTTACCACTGGAAACTGATGAAAAGAGCCTTTTTCTGTGGGGAATGGAGGGCATGTGCTTAGATGGAGACATCTCAGTAGCTCCTTATTTGGAGCTATGGAGCTAAATGAATTAAACAGGGTGAACTAGCTCGACGCCCGTAGCACAGAGCTTACGGCACCAGCCACATACACCAAGGCTGGTGGGTTCGAACCCAGCCCAGAAAAACAGCTGGGCGTTGTGGTGGACACCTGTAGTCCCAGCTACTCGGGAGGCTGAGGCAAGAGAATCACTTAAGTCCAAGAGTTAGAGGCTGCTGTGAGCTGTGATGCCACAGCACTCTACCGAGGGCAAAATACTGAGACTGTGCCTCAAAAAAAAAAAAAAAGAAATTAAAAATAAAAATAAACAGGGTGAACCATTTGGGAGGATTTAACTTAAAGCTTGAATTTGAAAACTCACAAGAAAAAGGCAAGATTATCAAAATTTTGGGAACTGGCTCTTTATTTGTCTATTTATTTTATTTTATTTTTTTGAGACAGAGCCTCAAGCTATCCCCCTGGGTAGAGTACTGTGGCATCACAGCTCACAGCAACCTCCAACTCCTGGCTCAAGCGAGTCTCCTGCCTCAACCTCCCAAGGAGCTGGGACCACAGGCGCCTGCCACAATGCCCAGCTATTTTTTGGTTGCAGCCATCATTGTTGTTTGGCAGGCCCGGGCTGGATTCGAACCCGCCACCTTAGGTGTATGTGGCTGGCGCCTTAGCCACCTGAGCCACAGGCGCCGAGCCAGTGTCTATTTATTATTGAGATCGATTTTACAAATCTGAATCCTTGCCGCAGATCTTGGTTTATAAATGGCAGACTGTTTTGAAGTGAGTGCAGGATGGACTTCAGATTACAAATTTCAGTCTTTTACTTGCTCTTCATGCATAACCGGGAAGACAAATAGCCAAAATCACTACTTAGTCTTCCAGAAACCAGGCCAATTGTCAGGTACCTTCCATCAGCGTTTCTCAAACTCCAAGGTGCCCACATCCCCGAGTCATCTGGGGATATGATTAAGATGCAGCTTCTGACTCAGCCGGTCTGGACTGGGGCTGAATTTCTAACAAGCGCCCAGATGGCACAGGTGCTGCCACTTTACAGACCCACATTCCCTGAAAGCAAAGGCTTAGAGGAAGGTTTTCTCAAAGTTGCTTGGTAAGGAATTGTATGTTTAAGAAAATCGTGTCCAAAACCTTCTTCCCTGAAAAATAAACAACTGGTAAAGAAATGTGGAAAAGACTCCTCAGTTGGCCCCGTCTCAGATGATTTGCTAAAAACACAGATTCTTGGTTTCCCCACCCCAGACCTCTTGAATCAGAATCTCTGGAGAGGACCGGGAAGCCACATTCAATAAGATGGCTCCCATCATGGTCTAGAGTTAGACCTTCCTGATGTTCAGGGACCCATCGTAAATTTTACTACCTTCATTGCCACCATCCTAGGTCAGGGGTTCATGACTTTGGCTACACGTTGGTCATTTAGAAGATTAAAGAATACTAATGTCCTGCACCTATCCCCCACCCTGGTTCTGATCTAAGCAGGGTGAAGGTGTGACCCATGCTCTGAGATCTGTAAACACTCCAGGTGACTTCACTCTGCAGCTGCAGCTGAGAATCACTGTCATGGGTGGACGTGAGACGTCATCCTCATGGTTCCTCCTCCTCCCACCCACTTCAAGACAGTAGTCCCCAGATCCACTGAACCCCAACTCTTCCCTGGCACCTCCTTTCCTCCCCCAAGGAGGACTGGACCTGCCCCTTTGTCTTTTCCTGGCTCCACAAGGTGATTCCCAACTTAGACTGTGCGTCTGTCACACGCACCTGCTCTCCAAACCCCTCCAAGCTTCCGCTCCTTTCATTTCCATCCTCAATTTGGTGTCTAGTTACCTCAGAACATCTCTCTCCAACTCCTTCCTCTTCTCTTTGCCTCTGTCTCTGCCTTTCTGCCTTTCATGACATGAAAGATTAAAAAGGAAGAGCCATCTCACCAAAATCATGTATGATTTGCAAAAAATTAATGATAGCCATAAATCAAGGCAGGGACATTCTGAAGAGTGCTTAGAAATAGAAAAACCAGCACCTGTACCAGAAAGAACCTTAGATATCTTCAGAATCTTCACAAAACATCCCACCTCTGTCCCCTCTTCTTCTTTCTTTTTTTTTTTTTTGAGACGCAGTCTCACTCTGTCGCTCAGGATAGAGTGCTGTGGTGTCCTAGCTCACAGCAACCTCAAACTCTTGGGTTCAGGTGATTCTCCTGCCTCAAGTAGCTGGGATTACAGGCACCTGCTATCATGCTCAGCTAATTTTTCTATTCTTAGTAGAGACAGGGGTCTCACTCTTATTCAGGCTGGTCTCAAACTCCTGAGCTCAAGCAATCCACCTGCCTTGGCCTCCCCAAGTGCTAGGATTATAGGCGTGAGCCACCTCTGTCCCTTCTAATTAGCTTCTCCCTTTACCACTAGCCTTCCAGGTGACTCGTTTGGACTTTCTCCCCTGTTGGGGTCTGGTATTTCAGCCCCACCACACCTAACATTGCGTTGGACACAGGCCTGGGCTTCCCAGAACCTGTTGATGATTGGTCCTTGCACAGAGAGTTTCAATAGCTGGTTTCAAGTCCCCTTTTAAACACACAAGCCTCAGTGCACCCCACCTCCCTTGTGGAGGGAGGAAGCAATGTCAGATCCCTGCCAGACAGACTGTGACACTCAGGGGTTACCCATACTCAGACACTTGTATTGATCAGTGTGACCATGGGGCCTCCTCTGCAAGTAACTTCTGGGACTTAGTGCCAGGTACCATCTGGCTCCACTTACCCCACCCTTTCTAAAAATACACATGTCCAAGTTCATTAATTAGCCTCCTTCTCATGAATCCTGCCCAATGTGTTTGATGACTTTATTTCCATTGTTTAAAAAAAAAAACTAAACTCCTTTATCAATCTAGCATTATTTTTTATTACAAATTACTAATAGCAGCCACTTTATCTGTGTATGCACCTATGCTTTAGATCAGAGGTTAGCAAACACTTCCCATGAAAGCCCGATAGTAAATATTTTCAATTTTGTAGGCCATACTGTCTCTGTTGTGACTACTGGGTCCTGCATGTTGTTGTGCGAGTGCAGCCATAGGCAATGCACAAACAATGGGTATGGAGTGTTCCAATAAAACTTTATTTACAAAAAGCAGGCAGTGGGCCAGATTTGGTGTAAAGGTTACAGTTGGCTAACCCTTGGTTTAGAACATAAGCTTTAAAATCAAATAGGCTAGGGTTCGAATTCCTGCTTATGTGATTTTAGTAAATCAGATGGATTTCTTAATCTAAGCCTGTTTCTTCCTCTGCAAAGTAGGGACTAAATGGTTGTCATTCATTCCAGTACATAACTATCCCCATTGTACAGATAGGGAAGCTGAGGCTTTTAGCTTCTTGCTTACCCAGGGCTCTGAAACTAGGAAGGATTGATCCAGGGGTCTAATCTGGGGCTGCTTTGAGCTCCCAGGCCATGCTGCCTAGAATCTACCCAGGGGGTGTGGTGTGCCTGGCAGAGTCCACATTCCTGCCATGGTAACCACATCTACTAAACAGCGGTCATTGCCTTTAAGGGCTTGGAGGAATGCGTTACTCAAGAGAGAAACAGAGCTAAGGCAGCGTTACAGGGAGAGCAGATGAGATCCCAAGAGCTGGAGAACCGCCTAGTCCGCCAGAAGGAGGTACGCAGCTTGGGGGGACAGAGTTGGCTCCAGCCAAAATCAGGGCCCTGCAGCTAGGAAAGATCCACCCAGCACTGGCTCCAGACCCCATGCTCTGAGCTCCGGGGCTGCTGCTGCCTGCAGTCTCCCCAGGGCAGCGGCAAGGCAGGCTAACCCACACACTCCAGGCAGAGTCCACATTCCTCCCCGCCATGGTAACCATGTCTCTGAAACAGCCATCGTCATTGACTTTCAGGCTTTGGAGGAAAGCATCACTCAAGAGAAAGACAGGGTGAAGAGAGCGTTAGAGGAAGAGCAGACGAGAGCCCAACAGCTGGAGACCCGCCTCGCCTTCCAGAAGGAGGTACGCAGCCCCGGGGGGATGGAGTCAGCTGGAGCCCCCATCCAGCTTCAGGGCCTTGTGGAAGTAAGTTCTGAACCATAGAGGATGAGGATAGCGGAGTGGAGTGTTCCTAGTGTAATTTGTGCTTGGGCAGGCTCAGCTACTTTGGGAAATAAGGAGCCGGGGGGCTTAAGGAGAGAGCCCTGCGCTTATAGCCTTGACCGTCAGTTGATAAAAACGGTAAACAGCATAAAACACAGGCGTAGATAGGACTTGGGGACAGGTTGGGGCTAGTCCTCCACCAACTCCCTAAAATCATCCAGTCTCCAGCTCCAGGACTGAGGAATCTGCTACAGCCCATCCCAGTGGCCATCCCAGTGTGGATGCCTCAGGCTGGCAGAAAGTTTTTCCTTTTGGTTGAGTTGGGTCAAACTCTTTTCATTCCTAAAGGGTGTCACTCCTCCACCCACCCAGGCTTTTTCCGTGCAATAAGTTAAAGGTTTGAAAATAAAGGCACCTTTTCGCCCCAGATCCAGATGCCCTTGTTTGTCCTTCTCTGCCTCACAGGGCTGGAGCTTGGCTCTGGTCCCCTCCTCTGTCTGGCCTGCTGTACTCTCCAGAAATCACAGATTGGTAGCTCATCAGCTAGAAAGGGCCTGCAGACATGTTATATTTGGCCCTAAAGTGTTTTACTTGGAATTCATAACATTTACTTAAAAATCCTGATTTCTATCTTCTCTTGAAAAGTCAGAAAATCTGGCCCCTCATTTTGGCAAAAATGAACTGGAGTCTAGGAAGTTTGCCACAGTCCCCACCATTCCCTATTGCCCACTTCATTTTTGGTCTCTGGCTGGCCTTTATAGGTATTTGAGTTTGCAACCCATCACCCATTTTCTTCCCAAAGTATCATAACTGGAACCAAAAACTGTTCTCAAGCCAGGGCATCCTGAGGTAGGACTCTCCCCTGCCTTGTTGAAAATATGTACTTCTGCTAATGGGCCCAAACTAACTTGGGGGAAATCTCTATTTCATTACTGATTCAGGTCTAGATTGTGGATCCCCCCTCCAATCCCCAAGCCTTTTTCACACAGACTTTCATTTATCCCTTGACCCTGAGGCAAAACAGAGAAGGGTAAGTTTTGCCACCAGATGAGAGGCTCCATTCTGGCTGTGACAGATCTATCACTTCTTGAAAGGCTGTGAGGGTGGGATGTAATGTATAATGAAGTGTCTGGCCCAGAATTATGGCTGAATAAATGGTAACCGTTGTCATTGTCCCTCCTGCCACTTCTGCCTCTCTTTCTACAAGGGCACTTGTTTTTCTCCCAACCCTCACTCCTCAGAGTAAAATCCTTACCCTCTCACCACTGCAGGAGAAGTGAAGAGGCTGCCAGGCCAAGCCTGTGTAATTTGAGCTGTAAACAGTGTCACTGAGTTTACCCCTGAGTTATTTCTCCAGGGGTGATGAGGAGGAGGAGGGCCTTTGAGGAGTCACTGGAGTCAGATGCCACCAAGAGGTCAACAGGGTGAGGCTGGGGAAAGGTTTCTGAATTTAGAGATCTCGAGGTCATGGGGGACTTCAGGAGAAAGATTTAAGCGTCCTTGCGGAGAGGAGCTGCGGATGGTCACTCCAGGTCTATGAAAACGTCAGCTCGCTTCTGGCAGAACCTATCTGTGGATTCCCTCCCATCAGGGGAATCAGACAGTGCAGCCCCAGCCACAGACCTCATCCAACCTCAAGTGGTTATTTGATTTTTTTTCTTTTTATTAGATCTTCCTCCACATTATCAGATGAATCTTTAAGGACAACAGAATCAGTAGGTCATAATTTGGGTTTTGAGATTATGTTAAAGGTGAAATCTCATTACCTGCTATGACCTTGGGAGCAAAGTAGGGGACAGGACCCATGTGCTCACCATCTCTCTCCCCAGTCGCATCTGTCCCAACTGCAGAGGAGCCACCAAGAGGAAGGCCTGGCTCATGCAGAGCCAACCCTAAGCCACCAAGTCTGTTTCATAGTTTACAGGAAAATGTCCTACTTGGAACCCCACCTCAGACATTCAAAATAAATGTGACACTTCCACAGTGTCACCGCTCTGCTACCTTGTTGAGGGCTGCTGCTACAACAGCTGTGTTAGAGTTTTTAAAACTACTTCTCACTGTAAAATATACAGTAACTCAGCCGTATTATGGATTAAATACTTCTGGCCGGCTGATCTGGGGCCCTAACCATCGGTCATAATGGCAACTCTGTTCCGAGTTCCAAATACCTGACAGACGAGCTGGTGTTTAAAAGACAAGCCATTCAAACATCGTGGCGCCCCTTCTTGCAGTGACTAGGAACAGGCCAGCAATTCATTTCCTTTGGTGATTTGCCTTAGCCATTTAGCTGAGTGGCTTTTCAGCAAGTAACTTCCTCGACAACATTCCTTGATGAGGGACACCAAATGCTAACCACTCTTTCTTCCCTGCATTCTACCTGAGCATTTCTTACAAGGCTCGCTCCCTCTCTCTTCTGAAAGTTGGCACGTTGCCGCTCAATAATTCAGTATACTGGCCTCCTCTTGGAACTGGATTCTCTTTAAGAGATTTATTTCAATAATGAGAAATTTCATTATTAATGAGACTCTTCTGCCCGATCCAGTGACAAGAAGCCCGCTTCCTCTGCTCACCTCTGCCGAGGGCCTCTTGTGCCCCTTTGTCCTTGAGCCAGGTTCAGATTCTGTCCCCTCCAATGGCAAATAGCATGGCCTTGGGCCCTCACTGACTTCCAGTTCCTCAGTTTGTTCATCTGTAAAATGGGGCTATTCACAGCTCGTCATTAAACAGGGTTGTTGCTGTGAGAGTAAAAGGCTGGCCAGGGGTATAGCTGCCCCCAACATTTTATTTATTTATTTTTTAATTTTTAGTAAATTTATTTCAGGTTAATGTAAGAGTACATACAACCAAGTCAAAATATTTGCTTTTGCCCTGCTTTGCCACACCCCACAGACAAAAAGGTGTGCCAAACACCCCCATCCATGCCCATTCAGTGAAAGCACCTCCCTACCCTCTCCCCCCATTACCCCTCCACCCAAACTGAACAGAAATGAGTTTTTCTCCTATGTGAGTACGTATCAGACTGTCTGCTGGCTTCATATTAGTATAGAGGATGCTGGATACTTGCTTTTCTATTCTTGTGATACTTTACTAAGAAGAATGTGTTCAGTTCCATCCAAGATATCATCAAAGATGTGAATTCACCAGCTTCTTTTATAGCTGAATAGTATTTCATGGCGAGCATGTACCACAATTTGTTAATCCGTTCCTGGGTTGGTGGGCATTTCGGTTGGTACTGTATCTTGGCGATTGTAAATTGAGCTACGATAAACAATATAATGCAGATGTCCTTATGATAAAATGATCTTCTTCTTCTGGGTAGATGGCTAGTGATAGGATTACAGGATCAAAGGAGAGGTCTAATTTGAGATCTTTGAGGATTCTCTAGACTTCTTTCCGAAGAGGCTGTATTAGTTTGCAGTCCCACCAGCAGTGTAAAAGTGTTCCCTTCTCTCCACATCTGCTCCAGCATCTGCAGCTTTGGGACTTTGCGATGGGAGCTGATCTTACTTGCCCCCAGCATTTTTGCTGTTATCCTTATTATCATCATACCCTTAGCAGTTTCCCCCCAAACGTGCAGGCGACCAAGGCCACATTGACTTGCAGGTCTGGGAGAACAGCATGAGCCTGGAGAAAAGAAAAGCAAAGGAAGCCCTGGAGTCGGAAAAGAGGAAAGTGCAGGACCTGGAAAACCACTTAACCCAGCAGAAGGAGGTATGGGCATCAGAGGGAAAGCAGGCTGCAGCTGCAGAAACTTCCAGAAGGCTCTGCAAAACCAGATGTGCCCCCAGGAGAGTCGGGGGGGGCTGCAGGGGCTGCAGCAGCACTTCCATCTGGAGTGGCCCCTGTCTCTCTGCCACTTCCTGCCTGTGCAACCTGGGGCAGACTCCCAGTGTCCCCACATGTAAAATGGGAATGATAACAGAGGGAAGTGCTCAAGGAGGGCCCTGAGCTCTGTGGCTCAAGTCCCTGGGGAGGAGGGATGCCCTCCAGGACCCCGGGTCATAATTAGGGTGGGACCTTCAGCCAGCACCCTCCTCCTCCTCCTAGAAAGGGACTGATGTCACACCTAGCACGGCCTCACGAGAAAGCTCCCCTCCTGGCCCCTGCATCCTGGTGTCATAGACAAGAGCAGGCTCCCTGCCCTGGCCAAGGGGCAAGAGACACAAACAGCACAGTGACAGGCAGAACACAACGGGGTCACGTCACATGAGTGCTGGGGATCCAGGTCTGTAGTGGTAGATGAGACGGGCACTCATAGGCGGGACAATGTGGGGAAAGTGAGGAGGGGTGTCCAAGTGCCAGGGCAGAGCTAGGGGTGTCCACATCCACATACCCACTCATCAACCCAGGGACAGGCCCACCAGACACACCTGCTCGGGGCAGTGTGAAAGGCCAACCCTAGATGTCCAGGTCATGCCCTAAAACTAGGAGCCTGGAGGCCAGGAAGCCATCACTCAGTGACCCAAAATGGTATCTGTCCCTGGAGCTCTGTGAGTGCGGCTCCAGGGATGGTAGTGGCACAAGCATGTGTGTGCCAGCCCTCGTAGAGCATCCAGAAACAGAGCTGATGGCCCAGTGAATTGTTTGATTCAGTTCTGGTCATCCACAAATACTCACTGAAGGCCCACTGGGTGCCAGGCCCTGTTCTGGGTGCTGGGGAAACAGCAGTGAACTAGGGCAGACCAGGGTGAGGCTTCCCAGAGCTTTCGTCCTAGCTCAGGAGAGACAGACACTCAAACACAGAAATAGCTCCAAGCCACAAGCGCAAAGGGGAAGAGAAAAATGGGGTATTCTGGGTTAGAGAGTGGCCTGCAGTCAGGGAGGGCCTCTCAGAGGAGGTGACTCTGAGTGAAACCTGGAGGGGAAAAGGAGCCTGGGGGCAGAGAGGGCCACTGGGTAAAGTGGCCCAGACATAAAAGGCAGGACCTGAACTAGTAGGTCATGGGCATGTTTCAGGAATGAAGCTGAGAGGGAGGCAGAGGAAGGAGGACACACGGGCGGGCAAGGTGGGAAGGAGCCTCAGAGCACAGTAGCTAAAAGTGCTCCTTCTGAGCCCAGATCCCAGCTCTGCCCTAACACGCTGTGTGACCGTGGGCAAGCCCTTGCCCCCTCTGTGCCTTCAGCTGTAAGGGGTAGAGGCAGAACCACCCTAGAGGTTTGACAGAGGAGTCAATCCATTTGTGCTTCAGAAGACCTTACTCCAGTGAGGTCAGAGTCCAAGTGGGGTGAGGAATTCAGGGGTGCAGCAGGGTGGGGGTCTTGACAGCCTTAATTAAGCAAAGACCTTGGCAGAGGGACTATGCCAAACCCAGGAGGGAAGTACGGTCAGAGTCCAGGTGGGGTTGCAGGACCACAGACACGGAGCAAGCCTCAATAAGGGGCAGGACCCAAACTCTGGCCCCCAGAGCTTCCCTTATACATATGGTCCAGGGGTGGGGTCTTGAAGCCAGGCCCCTACCAGTGTGGCAGACTCTGTGCCAACCCAGGTAGGAACATATAAACGTGTCTCTCACCTCCAGGGACTGGGGTTTGAATCAGGAGGTTGAGAAATTCAAGGACTGGAGACTGGGGGTAGGGATGGTCAGGCCAGGGGCATAGGCGTCCATACTCCCGCACCTCCACTTCCTGGTGGCATGACCTTGGAAGGTTACCTGCCCTCGTCCTGCCTCGGTTATAGCCCCCATTTCCCTGCCTGTAAGCCAAGGATGATGGGCACATGCCGTCCAGGGGCCTGACCCATTCGGTTCTGTTTTCATTTGCAATGGCTGAGCAGTGCCCTGGCTGCGGGGCATACCAGAGGGGGGTGGTGGTCTCCTACAACAGGCAGGACTTGAACCTGCAGGGTGGGGTCTGGACTGTCTCAGGCAAAGACTTGGCAGTGGAAAAAACCACAGGGAGATGAGGCAGGGAGGGACAGGGAGCGCACTGTGCTGGGGGCGGGGAGGGGCACCGTGTACTAGATGTGAAAACATATCAGATACATCAGGAACGTCTCTTCTCCAAAGTCTCACCCTGCCCCTCAGATCAGAAACCTCCCCTCTCCCAGCACAGCATGCCCCGTGACAGTTTTCAGTTGTTTTTCTTTCTGCCCAGAAGGCTCGTTCGCTAAAGAAAATTTAGCAGATACAAACGCCTGAAAAAGAGAAAATATAAATTGCCATAATCTCAATTCCCCCCAAATAACCACCATTTACATGCCTGTACCTCTCCCTCCAATCTTTTGTCTGCGCATAGACGCATATATTTAAAATACTCCTCTTGGGAACTTCTCATTGGTGTGGGGGTGTCATTTCAAGAGTAAACTGTTATAGGTAGAGTCAACCCCACTCTGGCTGTTTATTTCCAGGAGCCTCGGCGGGTGGGTCTCTGGTTCCATCACCAGATCTATAGGGTGTATGTCCTCAGCCCCAAACTGTCCTGGACAGGACAACACACCTTAGCAGACAGGAAGAGCCTGGTTGTGTCCCCCTTTGAAGCCACAGGCACTGGGCATGCTAGGACAGGAGGAACCTCTCCGACATGTCTCTCCTGCCCCATCTCCCCAGAAGCCAGGTACTTGGTGGCCCCCACAGCTCAGTCGGCAGGGTGCTGGCAACATACCCCGAGGGTGGCAGGTTCGAACCGAGCCTGGGCCAGCTAAAACACCAATGATAACTGCAACAACAACAACAAAAAAAGCCAGGCATTGTGGTGGGCGCCAGTAGTCCCAGCTACTTGGGAGGCTGAGGCAAGAGAATTGCTTAAGCCCAAGAGTTTGAGGTTGCTATGAGCTGTGACGCCACGGCACTCTAACCAGGGCGACAGGTTGAGACTCTCTCTCAAAAAAAAAAAAAGCAACTCAGCGCCTGTGGCTCAAGTGGCTAAGGCACCAGCCACATACACCTAAGGTGGC